CGCTAATTATCCGTGCTGATTATGCATTTGCTTGTTTTCTTTCCAATGTCTTTGCGAGATTACAAGGAATTTTATATTCTCATGTTGCAATCCACCATTCAACATTTTAGTGATTTCAAAGAGACTTGTTTTTTTACAAAAAAATATTTTCAGTATCATTTAAATTGCCCACACTTTGACAATATCCATCCTTAGTGTGCATGAGTTTTACACTTGTCTTAAATTTGCAAATCTATGTAGAAATTAACCATGCTCCATATTTTCCTACCACACAAACAATGTCTACACTCGATGACTCTTAACGAAATTTAACTTACACTCAATAACTTCCTATCCTTTTACTAATTTGATTTCATTTTAATCATTATCTGCAATTAGTGCAAGCTACTATAGTGCGCCGTATAACTGCATAGGTAATCCAATCATAATTAGAACATTCTTACGCCAATCTCAGTCTTGCGTGATGCAAACAAATCCTAAAAGTTTTCAAATTTAGGTAAAATTTGTCTTTAGTTTACAATGAATTTCAGTCTAGCGTAAGGTATGGAAAACCAACAGTGCTTTTTCACGACACAGTAAAATTACTGAAAAGTAATATTTTTAACATGAATCGGCACAATAGCCCAACTCTTATGGAATATGCTGGGCCTTGATAACCGATCCATATCATGATTACTGGTTGAACCTTTCGAAATAATCGAAATAGTTAGAAGCAATTTATAATAGAAGCAGCTCAAACTTACTTGTCTACTTGTAATGTGGTTAATGTTCGGCAGCCAATAACGAATGAAGAGTGATATATGTGGTGCAGCAGGTGACGGGGCTATATACGCTCTAACTACCCGTCGATCAAATACATGTAAATGCCATCATTCTTAGGGGGCAAAAATGTTGTTATGTGAACATGGAAGCACCAATAGTCTATGTGTCAAAATAAACAAGATTGCCCCCCCACCCTAAAAAATAGCGATGGATAATATGGTGGATAAAGTAGCAGATATGGGTAAGAAACCCCAATTTTATAATTACTCAAAATAGAATTGGGAATTTAGGACCGAAAGCGCAGTGGTTATACATTGTGATAGATGAGCCACACCTGGAGTTAAATGAAATAAATGTTTTATATAAAGGTAGAGTCCTGGCATGGTTTTTAATTCTTGGGATAGTGAAACTAACACAACTTAATGTGCAAGCTGTCTTCCCAGTGCAAGTTAAAAATGTTTAGCTAATGATGTGGGTCAAATTGTGACATACATTTTAGTTGAGTGAACACTAACTATAGGAGACAAAATTAATGTGACCGCCTTGGCTTATGGTACACGCATACATCGTAGGAGTTCAATGAATAACGTTCTTGTCAACACCAGTGTAAACACAAACCTCAGCACTTGCTCAAGCTATTAACGGCTCTCATTGGCTGTAAAACTTTTTATCGAGATGAGATGAATTCGTGACGTAATCAGTGACTATTTGGAATCATGGTTGCTGTTTTATTCAATTTTGTTCTGATTGTGTAAATACAAATAAACTTAAAAGGAAATATTTTTACTTTTTAATTGACGTGGGATAAATTACAATGATAATATTTCCCTTCTACCACTTTTAAAAAAATAATGAATAAAAACACGAGGAAATCAATGAAAGACAGGATACACTAAAAAGCCTGATTATTGCTTGCTATAGACGAATGTAGAGTTGTAAATATATCATAATGCTGTCAATAACATAACTCGGTGCATCTTTTATCAACTTTATGTTCCCTTTTTACTTTAAAACAATGTTAAAATCAGAATAACACTACATTACTATTGGTCAAATCGTTTTTACATTTCGTATCTTCTGTATTACCTGCAAAGACATGACCGGATAATGGCGCTTTTCCAACTTTTGTTTCAGAGATTGGTAAAGTGCTGTGTGTTCCGTAGAATTTCATCCTCATTGTCACATGCAGGGCAGAATCGGCTGGTTGACATCGCCATGTATTTCCTGAAGAATATGCCGCAAAACAAGTTGCTCGTCCCCGATGCTGTCTTCCTCTTGCAGATTTGCTGTGCAAACTCCATGGCGATCTGGACAAAAGAGGCCTCGCCCAGCCCTCTATTTCTGAGCAGGTGGCAGAGCTTGTAACTAGTGGAAATATCAATAAAGTCCTTCTGTCTTGTCCCATGCTCTGCCCCAGAGTACACAGTCTGAGTAGCTGGCTGGTATGTTGCCATCGCTGAACAAGCTGTTCAGTTCTGTTATTGCTGCACTGACCCTGTTAGCTTGTTTCTGTATGGGTGAAAGGCGGACCGGGTCACGTTGCTTGTCATTAAAATCTGGCGCATTGCTGGGTTGGGGATCATATTCTGTGTCAGGCCTAGACACAATGCAAGCCTACATTTAACGTTACTGATCTCCAGTCACGCCACTCGATTTGGATTTCATTGTATAGTTTCTGCTTGCCTGTCCTCTACTGACCTGGGTCGCATTTCAGTCCCACAGACCACGCCATTGTCCACTTGCTCTCTGTCTGTCTCCTTGTCCCAAAGCACAGAGCCATTCACTCGGCTGTAAGCTCTGACATACTCTATTGACGAAATTGACTGCTTTTTCTGCTTAAGTCAATATGTATTCATCTGGGGGGGGGGGGGGGGGGGGAGGGACTGGACACAGTCTCTGGTTGTTCTTCTCTCCCGGGTCGTGTTGCTGGTGCATCAAGGTTACAGACTCGAGGGTTGTTGGTGGCCAGGCGGGGGTGGAGTGAAGGCTCCCTGGTACAACTCTTGGCTGGGTCTGATGTATAAGCTCACACCGGCCTTTGGAAGACTGTCAGGCTGCCGCATTCTAAAGAATGGTCCGTATCCCTTCACAAACACACTTTTTATTCGCCTTTCCAGCTACCCCTGGCAAGCAATAAAGTATGTAGTGCCAACGGGTATGTTTATGTCTCGATCTGAAAAGGCAGATCACATGACTGGACTGATAGCGAGACTGACTGACAGATAGTTTTTAGCCGGACTTCTACATGAAAAGACGTGCTATCCAAGAAATTAAGAAAGTGACAATTTGGTTCAAGCTAAAGAGCTTTAAAGGTAAGAAACATACTATTACCTTAATTAGAATCCAAAGGGAATTCTACATTGGCGACAAGGATGAGATAATAAGGGAAGAAGACAGGAAAAAGACAGCCTTTATAACCAAGTATGGCCTATATGAACATGTGAGGATGGCTTTTGGTTTATGTGGAGCACCTGCGACCTATGCCAGGATTATGAATCTGGTTTTTAGAGGAATGACATGGGAAACTGTGCTAGCTTTCCTAGAAGTAATTACTGAGTCAGGAGCCAGGGGCAGAGGATGTTATGTGTGAGAAAATACACTGTCACCAGAGCGATAAAGGTCATAACACCTCGAGCGCCAGCGAGAGGTGTTCATATTAAAAATAAATATAGGATAACAATGTATTATTTGACATATATACCGAGAAGAAATAATGTCATTTCATCCTAAAACACCCTAAAACCGAATAAAGTGATCCTATTTCACGCTATAAGGATGTTATATGGAATAAACTCGTCCACGTGCGAGTCCTCTTCCGCCGAATTCTTACGTAATGTCTAACCAGTATAGGTCAATGTTTGCTAAATACTTGCTGTGGAAGGTCAACTCGCTTGCCCACTATTCAATCAACCGTCAACAATGGACATGGACGACTGGGCTGGGCCACACCTAGCTGAGACTGCTGTGAAACAAAGGTCCCAGTGCAAAACCTCTACATTTCAGTGAAATGTTCATGTTTCTCCCAGGTGTCTCTCCCAGGAAAACTGGATACATACGACAAACGAGTATGAAGAGTGACGGGCTGTGGAAGTTTCCGTAATCAAGTAACTACATGTCCCCAGTGCAGGAAGGAAATCTGGCTGAGTAGTGAGTATTGTTCTGAAGGTAAAAACAGGAAATTGATTTCCTGTATGTTTACAAACAGACACAGACGCCTTGCATTTATGCCATTTTGCCTTTGACATTTGTTTAAGTAATTTTTAAAACGTTTAATTTTTATCAGTAATACTCTTACATCACTCCTTAAAAAAGATTCACAATAATCCAAACAGATTAAGGCACAATGATATGTATTTAATTTTCCCACACATGAAATTGTGCCTGTCTCAGCAGTCGCAATGGTGCTAAGTGTCCCATACAGCAAACACATTTTCAAGTTGACACAGCTCAGTCACCAAGAGACTGTTCTCAGCCCTATTGGGCAGGGCAGTTGCAATGTATCACCCTTTTTTGGTTTCATAATGTAAAAAGGCAGAATTAATCCTCAAAACAGACTTATCATTGTTTGTTATAGATGGACCTTATGCTGTGAAAAATAAATGATTTTTTTCAGTTATTTTTCTGGCATTCCCAGTCTGTTGCAAAGGTTAATATCGGGGTCTATCTGTAGGCTAAGGTCTAATCACTGCATATTTTTTCCAGTTCTATGGACAGATGGACAGACGTGGTGGATAAGGTAACGGATAAAGTAAAACAAGGACCAAATTTAATTATTACCCCAAAAAGACTTGGGAATTCACGACCGAAAGCACCGCTGATATGCATTGCGATAGATGAGATATATATCTTGAGTTTAAACGAAAAGTGCTTGATTGGTATATAGAAAGAGACCTGTCATGTTTTTGTTATCTGGGATCTTGAAACTGATACAATTTTATGTGCAAGGTGTCTTTTTATGACTTTTACGACTTTTTATCTAGATGAGATGAATTCTTGATGTGATCAGTGGGGAAGTATGGAATCGTGGTTGCTGTTTTTTCCAGCTGATTGCATTAATATATTTCCCATCTATGTTTTCTCAGGGAGCACGTGTTGGTAAATCGAATATACATTTTTAAAACTATGGTTATTATTTTCAGCACGCCCGCTTGATCTATTTCAACTATTTTAAAACAATGGAAGATAGACGAAATGCAATGATACCAATAGAAAAATTTATTAAAGAAAATTGCAACTCGCGAGATGCAGCGAAATATTTCATAAGACTGGTCATACGGAATCATCAACTAACATGTTCACATCTAAAACGAACCGTTTCTGCCCAAGGGAAATATATAAGATAACAGTTATTAATTTTTAACAAGGGATAAAAAAGCAACCTTACCGTTCAGTTTTGAATTTAGACACCTAGTATACATTTTATGTGGACTTTTAAATTGGTTATAATTAGATCAATTATTTAATATTTGGTTTAATCAGTCAGTCCTTCATAATTTTAAAACCGTCTTAGGATCACTACATTTTCCAGAATTGAAGGGATTGAAAACATGTATAACTTAAACATAATGTGTACAGGAATAATTATTCCCAATCCCCTGCCTTGGACAAACTATGGTTTACATTGATCTGGGGCCGTATTCTCGAGCTCAAGACCAAATACTATACCGGATAAGAATATTCAACAGTTGATTGTAAAATATCTTCGATGAAAATTAATACAGCTTACTGGATAATCACCGACGTACAATTTCGGTACATGTTTGCAGTTTGGGATATTGAGAAATCAGTTTAATGATCTATCAGTATTGGTATTTCTTATTCCAACTTTTGTAAATTATATTTAAGACAAAGTTTTGTTAGAGTTCGGGTCAAAATCTCGTTAAAGTCTAGCTGATCAAGTTCAACCGGCATGTCTTCTACAGGATTTAGAACTGCGTTCCACTCTTGAGCCAAGCTATCCATTTTTCTGGCTAGTTCTCTGATCTTATTGGCCTGTTCAGACCTGGTCTTGCGATGCTCCTTGATGGAGGACGATGCCAAAATGTAAATATCATAGGGTACCAGCACTGCGCTAAATACAAATCCTCCTATGTGCAGAACTCGGAACCCTGTCCCCAGCCCTCTAAAAACGGTTGCGGCCGCGTCGTCTGCAACTCCCGCTGCAAGCCTGATGCCATTTAAGACTGGGATCCCGACGCCGCTCGCTGCATTTGTCGCAAATGAACTTGAATGTCTAACGGCAGACAAGACACCAGGAGATGGGATCATCTTTTTAAGTTTTTCTAATTTCTCTTTATATGCTTCAGCCTTTTGATGGACAGAATCAAATGCTTCCTGTGCTTCGCTGCACTTGGATTTGGTCATGAAATGCTCAGCTAAACCCGAACCGGCGGCTGCGATTCCTCCTGTGCCACTAAGTGCTGCCCCGGCAATTGAGAGACCAAGCGACGCTCCAAATGTCACGAATGACAAACCAAAACCTACAGCTATAAGCGGGAATCCCAACAGCGAAGTAACAGAACCGACTATTCTTCCTGAAATTTGGTGAAAAAAAACATTTAAACATTACAGGTCTCAACTACTTGTAAATTAAATACGTGGTAAAATTAAATCCTGTATTTCTGCAGCAGCACATAAGTTACCCGATTTACTACACATCTAAAAATCTACAAAACCTGAATGTTGTTAGATTTAATTCAAAGTTCTGGTACGAACCTTAATTTATTTAATAATGCAATATCTAATGTTACAAAGACACACCAGACCTTCAACAAAAGCGCAATCATATACACAGACGTTTTTATCGATGTGCCCGTTTGGAGTTCTATACTTTGTAAAATAATCTTGATAATGTCAATAAATTTTTGAAAACATTAGAAAGTTTGAAATCAACCTATTTTAATTTTATCAAATGAGAATTATCATTTTTGTTATTATTTTGATTTGCATATATATATATAATGATTGCTGTTTTGGTACTCTTTATATATATGTTTGATTGTTATTTTGATAGTCTTAGGGTGCATTCCCAGAGATTTAGATCGATCCAGAGATTTAGATTTAGATTTAGATCGACCTAACTCCTTGGGGGTTCACGCTAAATTGCAGTCGGCCGAGCGGGCACCACAGTTAATTACCCCCTTACAGCTAGCTTTCAGAAGGCGGGACAGACGCTTAAGCCGGCTAAGCTGACAGTAATCTAGTGAGACTCCCCACAGGGATAGATCGATCTAAAATCTATGGGAATGGGGTCTTAATTAACACAATCTTTTAATTCTTTAAACTTAGTTAATAGATGTTTTATGTTCTTTTATTCATCTCATGAGGGCCATAGGGAAAATATTTTTTTAATTTACCAAGAGCTTTTGACCTTTTTTACTTTCATTGATCGACCACGGTGACTAGTACAGTTAATCAGGAGATTAAGGTCGGGACAATTTACTGCATTATCATGCATGACAGCGTCAACCTGCATTACAATTTTTAATTTTCCACCAAGCAAATCCAGGCTGTTGGTGTATAAGTTCAGGTACAATATAAGAACGCAATCAAACCGCGAATGAAAAAAAAAAACAGCAATCATTTAAAGATGTTACCTCTGTTACATTTTTTGCAAAACTCGTCGATTTCGTCGGCAAGACGATGCAGGATTTTGGAAGCTTCTTGGGCGCTTTCAGCAAGCTCTCGTAGCTCCCTTACTAACGCTTCACCCAACTTCAAGACCTCATCCCGAGTAAATGGTATTTCTCCTACCTCTTTCTCACTACCTGTAGTGTTTGGAGACGACATACTGAATCTAAGAAAATTTAAAAATAAAGAAAACCAAACATTATTGCTGTTACAGAACATTCTAAAGCAACATGCACACCCTTCCCCTGACGTGTATTTCATTTTTGCAACAACATTTTGCACTTCTGGCTTTTGTTAAAATAAAGGGTTTGTGTTATGAATCATGCGAATTGAATTTCTACGTATATGGCAATATGTTAATTATAAAAGAAAACCAATCTGCTTCATACAGACCGCTTCCAGATTTTCCCGTCGTACTAGCTAGGGGGATTCTAGCTTAAGTGCATCCAGCGTAATCAGCTTAAATATCTGACACGCCTCCTCGAGGGCAAGAACTCCGAGAGCCAAGTGCTTGTTTTAGTAAATTGCCCCTTGCTGGTCAAAGAGGTGTGTCTGACAATTAAGCTATTTGCACTGACTGCACTTAAGCGAGAATACCCGCAGAATTGGAATTATCTAGCTGATACGATGGGTTTATCTGAACGCTAACACAGACATTATCATCTAACCTGTATAGAACATAAGATATTTTGTGTGTGAGAAACAGACGGGCTCATTTTGGAGAACAATGCAGGTTTCTCAAACAACAATGAATTTTCCTCCCAACATACAACATTGGTCAAAAAGGTTGTCCCACCCCCCATTTCCATGTACTTTTATTTACAAATGATCAACTCACAGGTGTAAATTGTTATAACTAGTGCTTTTTATTCCAGATACCATGTATAACATGATTAATGGTTAAAAAATCCAAAATAGTGGTGAAAATATATACATTTTATACCATTTAGTCAAATTTATAACAGGTACCCCCTCAAATCCAATGTTTCATTGTGATTTCTACAGATGTAAAGCAATGTCTATTAAATTGAAAAGACGCCATCAAATGTCACCAAATTTACACACAATTAGCATAAGGATGTGCTCGTTAAAGGTCACGTGCCTAATAGTGTGTGGGTCTACCGCGTACTGCAATTATCTCCTGTAGATGGCGCGACAAGCCTTCAGCAAGGGTAAAAATACTCTTTCGTGGGATATTATCCCATTCTTCCTAAACAGCTTGGGGGAGTTGGTCCACGTTTTTATGGGGTTGGTTCTCTTCTGCATTGCTCACTCCAATTCATGTCACAGGTGATAAGTAAGGTTTATATCAGGGTTCAAAGATGGTGGTTCCATCCTTAGAACATTGTGTTTCTACAACAAATCACTTGCCGGGCGAGAAGTGTGAGCAAGTGTGCTGTTATGATGAAGCCTGGAGTTAACCCCAAAGTCAGTTCTTGAAGATGGAGTGAGATATCAGCTGAGAATGCTACGTTCAGTGATCCCACAGGGACCTGAACTTGGCCATCCATCACTGGAAGGAAGTCAGTTTTGCTGCAGAATCAAATTATTTCTTGTATCCCATCGATGGTCAAATGAGGGTCCGTAGACATGTTGAAAAATGCCTCTTGGAAGGGTGCGTGCAGGATAATATCGCCTGAGGTGTTATATCAGTCGGCAGTAGGGAACATTCCAAGTCCGTGGTATTAGTGCATTGTTCCTTCTGGAACAAAACGCAACTGGGGCATTTTACTGTAACATTCTCAAAAAATAGCTCACTCCATTTGCAAGAGGTGACTTCAGGGATGCTACCGGCTTCATTGTGACAACGCGCTTGCTCACAGCTCTCGTCTGGCAAGTGATTTGTTGCTGAAACACAGGGCTCTTAGGATGGGACAACCGTCTTTAGGTACGTGGCCTTTAACGAGCACATCCTAATGCTAATTATGTGTGAATTTGGTGACATTTGATGGCGTCTTTTCAATTTAATAGACACTTCTTTACATCTGTAGAAATCACAGTAAAACATTGGATTTGAGGGGGTACCTGTTATAAACTTGACTAAATGGTATAAAATGTGCATATTCACACCACTATTTTGTGTTTTTTGAAGCATTAATCATGTTATACATGGTATCTAGAATAAAAAGCACCGTTTATAACAATATACACCGCCAATGGCATTATTACACATATAGCAAAATTTCAATCATATGGGAAGTCAATTTGTTTCAATCAGGCGAATCACGTACACCGTGTTCAGATTATCCCATTGCACTAGCTAGATCGACCCAAATCAGCGGGGGTTTCGCGCTGAAGTGCATCCAGTGTGATCACCTTAATGGTCTGACACTCCTCCTCGATTGAAAGAACTTCCGAGAGCCAAGTGCGCATTTCAGTAAATTACCCCTTGCTGGTCAAAGTGATGTGTCTGACAATTAAGCTAATTGCACTGACTGCACTTCAGCGAGAATCCCCGCAGAGCTGGATTTATCCAGCTGATGCGATGGGTTTATCTGAACGCTAACACAGACATTATCATCTAACCTGTATAGAACATCAGATATTTTGTGCGTGAGAAACAAACGGGCTTATTTTGAGGAATGTTGCAGGTTTCTCAAACAACAATGAATTTTCCTCCCAACATATGGGCGTGACCAATGCCGAAAATGAAAGTATGTCACAGTATCGTTTTTTCAGCCTAAATCATCTTACCTGGGGTGTGGTGGATCTCGATCACCGAATCAAAACATTTTTTATTTGAAGTTTCATGAATACCCATAAAAAGTGTTCATATTCACACCATCTCAAACTTACCTACCTACTTCTCGACCGTCAGAGTCTGCAACTAACACTTCCCAGGGACCACTTATCATTGACTGTCAATCAACGTGACTCAAAGTCAATCAGCATAATGTATTCTTTACACACCCAAACCTGGGCGGTGACTTTCCTGGACAAATAAACATGTTCTATGACCCGTTGTAGCACTTGTCTACGTGAGCAGGTGAACATCCCAAGGTGATCAAAGGTGTCAAGGTGTTTATTTACTTCAGGCAATCGTTTCTTATTCTTATTTTGAAAAAGATACCATGTGATAGTATTAATATTTCGAAGGATGCAGTTTTTATGCTGTATAGTTAGCGATTGAGTATACCATTACGCTATTTTAGAGAAATTTTAGAAACAGAACAGAGCTTAGGGGAAAGTTATATTGGTTTAAAACACTTAAATACTTCTTTAGTAAAAAGAGTGTTCCAGTCAAAGTGCACACTTATTTTTCAACTGGTACAGCATGAAAAATTTCATTTGATAGCAATTTTGGAGATAAAATAGGCATATTTTCTTGTTTATCAGTTTTAGCTTTGTAAATCAAGACGATAACCTGAGTTTTGATAAACAACATATTGCGGTCGATGCTGTGTGGTGATATGTTTGTTTTGCTACATCAAAATCTGCCACAGTGCTATGTACTTTATGTCACAACTGTTAAGATATGACGATACTGGGATTCCAAGGAGGTTTTTGTGTCTACCTGCCAAAGAAAGCAGTCAAGCATTCTTGCCAAGACAGAATGCCAACGTTTTCAAACAAATTGGTCTTGTGGATTGATTAGAAGAATAGCACATAATTCACACAAACACTTGAAAGCGTGGTATTTAATGTCATCGTAATTTATTTTAATGTCATCGTAGTTTTTTTAATGTAAACGAGGGGCGGGCCTGAAGAACGAATAGATAAGATAAAATAGATACTTATGATACAAGCCATTCAATGGGGACGGTCCGCTCTACAGCCCTCTCTACCAAATTAATATCATAATCCAATAAAGTAAGCTCAGGTTAAAAGGAGCATAGATGGTTTTTCAAGATTGCTCATTAAATAATAACAAAGAGACTGCTTATGATGACCCAATATGATTTATAGCAAAATCATAATGTAAATGTAAATGTAAATAAGGGCACCTACCTTGTATATTTGACCCCCCCCCCCCCCCCCCCCCCCCCAACTCTGGTAAGGCATACAATTGACAAGCAAACAAAGCGCAACAAATCGCTGTATCTTAGTCCCAATTTCCATAGATTTTAGATCGATCTATCCCTGTGTGGAGTCTCACTAGATTACTGTCAGCTTAGTCGGCTTAAGCGTCTGTCCCGCCTACTGAAAGCTGCTAGGGGGTAATTAACTATGGTGCGCGCTCGGCTGACTGCAATTTAGCTTGAACACCCAGGGAGTTAGGTCGATCTAAAGCTTATATTCCCTGGATCGATCTAAACCTCTGGGAATACACCCTTAAATTGTCTGAAACGAAATAATCACGAACGGTATATTATAAGAGTTTATCAGTGGTATCTGTTGGCACTTGGGCAGAGTTATTATTTTCGTTGTAATTGTTCTTTAAAAAACACATGTTTAGTAAATATTCGCTGTGACAGTAAGATTTTAACTACAAAATGCTTACACGGGAACCTTCATTGAACACTGTCAGTTGTTTTGTTTGATTTAATGAGGGTAAATAAGCAATATAACCCCCTCAGAACTACCCGACGCAATGGGGTGGGTGAAGTTCGTTGATAAGTCAATTTTATCATTGCTCAAATACGGGAAGTAACGTGGTGTCGATGTGCCACACTCATTGTGTTAGTTGAGACACAAAAGCAATGGACGAAAAAGATTGCTGCATACTGATATTCTTGGCATCCATTTGACACCTAGGGTGGTGCAACTTGCGCAACTTAAGCTGAATCACTGCACCTGGATCAGTGAAAAACAAAGCTCTCTTCCTTAGGTACAGGGTTCAAATATGTTGCGCGTGATGTCGGTGAACTTGTGGGTCACCTTAATTCGATACGTGAAATCGATTTTTGTTACTTGACTCAGCTTATCGTGCCAGAAACAATTAACATGAGTTTTAGCTGATGTGTTTAGGAGGCCAATATTATGAATGTGTACATAATACAAATCCAGCGGACAAAACTTTTAGGAGAATTTATATGATACTTTTGTAGAAATAATTGGTAGCACTTAATACTACTTGTCTGGCCGTACATTTGTTTCTTTATTTAGACAGAACACATGACCGCCACATTGATATTTTCACATTTCATTCGGATTAGTAGGATATTTCAAATATGACTACACACACTGGACAATAGAAGTGTCACTCCTACTGAACCAATACTTTTGGGGAGATAAATGACTGTGGAATGATGTGCTCCTGGTATCAATTTATTAATTTTATTTAAATACCAACAATACAATTCCATGGCGAAGCGGTTTTATACTCATTAGTCACATTAAAAGTAGACCAGGCATTAAAACTTTGATTACTCTGATTCAGGGGGTGTCCAGTGTGTGTATAATAACTTTGCTTGCCTTCGATGTAAAAACCGCTCGTAAAATGTGCATTCACATTAATTGAAGAGGCCATGAGTAATTTTCGAATATTCCCCCAACTCGTATCATTCCCTGATAACACACACCGTTAGGACTACTGACTTATTTATATGACACAGACTGATTGTGTATTTTGCCACTGATTGCATTTTCGTGTAAATGTACTTGGAACATTACATGTATATGTACATGTCTGTCGATAATGTGCATTTATATTAATGTTTACATCGTTTTACACATGTATGTTCAAAGACCCAGGTACATTTGTACTACTAATGCGTGATGGTTTGTATCGATTAGCATTATAAATTCAATAACCTAACCAGGCGTAATATTGCACAATGATTGATGGCCCACTCACGTATTTGAGTTGTTCTGAATGACGATTCCACGAATCTTTTTCATTTTAGGAAATGTCGCACTGCTGATGCCTTTTCACAATGCTGATTACACCCTGATAACACCCTGGGAGGATGAGTGAAATTACCAGTTCGAAGAAAGTTGATGCATCAAGATCTATAGCTACATGTAACTACACTGTAAAAAGAGCAAGCCTGTATAGAAGGGCCGTGATTTGTAATTCCCTGTACCATATTGGCACTTAAATATATTTCCCTGTGGTGGAATCGTGTTATCGTTAGTGGCCCTGGTTTAGGACAAACGTGCAGTTTAATAAGCGCCGTATTAAAACAACAACTACCGAGACAGAAGTGCAAAGGACTATTCGGATTTGTTGATATACAAGGAAAAAAACAACAAAACAACAAAACATTCAAATTTGGGAAGAGAACTAAGAGATTTCAAACCTACTTTGTTCCAAATGTGAGATGAAATTCAGTTAAATCGTGAGATTTTTTTGTTATTATTGAAGAGCTATTTTGCATTTTGTCACCATTAGCCGCAAAAGACCAACGAATGGTATGTTTTCATTTTTTTCTGATTAAATATGAAAATGATGTAATGTTTTTCATATTTATTCTTTATGTTTGACAGCATTTTTCATGCTCTTGATCATTGTGGCTATTGACGATAGGCCGATATAATAATAATAATAATAATAATAATAATAATAATAATAATAAATGTAATAGTCATAAATGCAGTGCATGAAGTCTGCATATTTAAAAGTCATTTTGATATCCCTTATTATTCAGTCTCAATCGATTTTTTTTCCTGAAAATTATAATCGATTGCAACAAAACACGCTCTCACATAAATTAAGCAACCGAGCAGATTTACCTGAGACGTATACAAAGATAGGCCCACTTGAGTCCATCAGTGTTCTCATGATACAATGTGGTTCCATAAAATATGATACAATACAGTACAATACGTATCAGGTGAAGCGAACGCCTTTGCATTATTTATCATCAGACGCACTGCCCGAATTAAGTGGATTGGGGAGTCACAGGAACAGTCCGCCATGGTGTTTTGCCTTAATTTCTGTGTTAAAAAGGTAAGTGTTCTTGCTAATATGATTTGAGAACAAAAACTGTTCTTAGGTCATTTTTTTTACGTCGAACTAAATATGTTTCTCTTCAAACTAACTGTCTAAGCTTACGATGTCTTGTCACTACCGGTGGTATACAGGTAGATCACCAGTTATATCGTGGTTCTAACCTGCCCTGAAGTATTTGCCATCCCAACAGGGGTAAATAACTAATTTAGTTGACTTAATGTATCAAATTGCTGCTCCGACACCACGCTGTTTTATTTATTTATTTTTTCTATTTTTGATTGTCTTTACAAAATGCGCATTGATGGAGAACGCAAAGTACTGGGCCCCGTATCTCGAAGGCATCGCATATTGCGAATCGCTATATCAAATAGAGGCTACAATGTATTATATGGGACGAGTATGGGCCAGTTATGGAATCGAGACGCTTGCGCACGTGCGCAACATAGCGAACCTTTCGAGATACGGAGCCCAGGTCTGTAATGTTGTCAAGTACTATTTGGGTGACGCTATTTAAAATGTCAGTGCAAAAGAGACTCACCTAAAAATGTAAAATATTTTCTTACATATGCCCTTCTACGTTGCCAATGAAAAAAAACACGTTTATTATTTAAAAAAAAACAATGGTTATTATTCTAAATGACAAAGCTATTTGTGTATTTTTAAAATTTTGTAAATTGGGATTTTTTGCTATTCTATTCTGAAAACACCAAGGTTATTCAGGATTTTTGAGATTGTGCTGACTTTCCCCCCTCACTCATAACCTTGAACCTCACCATGCGTGACCTAAACGGATGAAAAACTGAGTCATACGTCACATTACCTCTCCACTCCAACTCCAGTGTCGATATTTCATTTCTCATAGACAGAGTGGATAAATACAGCTGACAGAACCTGCACTCGTTAAGTGGAATACTGTCGATGAAAAAAGAACTAATATTCCTTCATTTTCTACTTCCTACAAACAAGATACTCTGCATCCTATCTTGTTCCTATCTAAAATTATTTTGGCATTGTACTTATCGTGCACGTAATTACAGAACATTTTTTTATGATTAACTATTAGACTCGAGTCCAACATTAAACGTTGGGATAGCAACCCTGTGGCTTGATACTTAAGAATATATTTACGAAATATAATATACCGAGATATAATGAAAAATTAAAATAAAAACTGTATGCCCCTCTTTGAAGTACGGATTAGGTGATAGGTTTAATGGCTTTGCCATACATCCTAGCTGAATTCAAGGTTAATATTTAATGAAGTTAATTGTGTGTAGGGGAAACGCCACAGATCTGTCAGCTGCACAACGCAATTGCAGGACCATCCCGAACCAAAAATCAATCACCTAAGTAGTACCCGGAGGGAGTGAAAAGGTGCTATTGGGATTTCATAATAAATTAATCGCATATGTATTCTACTGGTTCAAATTAATGCCCTGGTATTTTCGTTATGTGAGTTCACAATCATCTAGCGAATCCGCTTCTTTTTATCTCTGCCAATTAAAGAGGGAGGTTGTGTTCTCTGGTTTGTTTGTTTTTGGACACGATATCTGCACAAATTTTGATGAAAGCCGGTTATTTGAGAGGGATAAAAGCGAATGCACGTTCAGTTGAATCTTGTAATGTTTTTCTTGGACAGTACACCAGTTTACCTGATGATACTGCGCTGGACCATACAGCTTCGCTGAACAGAATGAGTTATGGGCACCCACACCGGACTTTTCCCAAGGTAACTTCTCATAGATTTATACAACTTATGAGTAACTTTTGTCAAGTGATTAACGAATAAAATGTTGACGTCTTATAAAGTCGCTGAATCCAAGTCGTAATGTAATGTTTTTTTTTTTAATTTTATTTTTATTTTTTATTCATTTATTGTATTTAATTTTATTAATTTTTTGTGAGGGTCAATACGTGGTGCAAATGAGGCTGATCTTGTTCGAAGCGTATCAAATTTGTACGAGTATAAAACCAAAATGGCTATGGTATGTCAATATTAAGACAGCAGAGCACACGAGCTGTCCAATTGAATTTTTGAACACGGTTTTCCGCAGAAAGCCAATTCACGAAAAGATCACAGGTGATTTTTTTTTTTAATTTCCAGGATCTAGAATAGCTTTCAGGAAATTAACAGGACAATGAACTTTGGATCTGGAGGTTAGTGATCTGAGCCTTTAATGGCGTTTTCCGTTTATTCTAAACGATGGGTTATCATTTTAAGACATTTCTTGCACTGAGTTTTGCATTCAGTTTTGTATGGGATATATTTATGGTCACCACTACAGGCACCCTTTTACCTATGCCCTTGATCTCGAATTATTGTATCATATTTCAGAAAATTGAGGTTTTTGATGTGGATGAAATAATCAAACAACTTAGATTATTCATAATTATTTTAATTTCGATACGTTAAGATCTGTTTCTTTGTCCACTTAAATGATGGTAAAATATGTATGGTCAAATAATGAGACAGTGTTGGCATATCACATATACACCAGTGAATTGGCTAGTTCAAGCTGATGACGTAACGGCTGCGTTTTGCTGTTATATCGATTCAAAACAGATCCACTTCACCTGAACAGTTATTAAAGCTGTTTTAACACCCACTGCAAACATCGTTTTAGTGACACATATCTCCTAAGCAAAAAAGTAAAATCAAACCATGGAACCAAATTATTTTTGACACTTACTTGCCAACCTTGCCAATTTTCACGACCTCACTTAGTATCAGAGTTACGTCGGAACCTATCCAAGGACGTAAAATATTTTAGTAGATCTTCATAGATGCATCAATTTGATAAACTGATTATTTTTTAAAGAAATATACTGTGATTTGATATGAATCTTCATAGTTACGTCTTGAACCGGTCGACGTCCCACACAATTTACCATTTACATGCCATATGCGTTGAACCATCATATTTTCGAAGGCATTTGATCATATGGGCACTGCAATGTTTTAAAAACTGACTTAAGTTCTTGTGTTTTAAAATAAACCTTAATGCATTTTAAATATTCTCAAAGTGCCAATTAATATCATTCCATTTAATGGATCCAACAATTTGCAATAATCAAACTAATTTTGTTGCAAATAAATATTATTATTATTATTATTATTATTATTATTATTATTAAGCAGTGAAATCGACGATTATCCTTTGGTCACCCTTTCACTGAAGCTAATAAGGTCGTGAATATAACAACAAAAACGAAGATTTCGCTCTGAATGTGTTCATTTGTCATTCAATGGTATTAAGATAAGAATATCAATTAAAAAGCGAGGATGATTTAACTTGACTTGGGCTTCATAACACATCGAACCCTCTTAATAAGGTAGAACAATTGAAGCACTGCATGAGATAAGTTGGACCTTGACATGGTAATTGGCACCTTTATGTAAATTTTGTATTCGGAACAAACATACATGTTTATCCACCAAATATACATGTATACTCTAAATGTTCATTTCGAATTTGTTTTCAGGTACACTTTTAAGGCTAGTGATCGCTGTTGCTTATATAGCAGGTATTGTTTTATTTTCTCTGGCTATTTGTTTTCATTAGTTTATAAATGTATGGGTGTTTGTCCATCTCTCTCTCTCTCTCTCTCTCTCTCTCTCTCTCTCTCTCTCTTAACAATCCCAATGGTACCAAGGCACAATTTTTCATATACGTAATGTTCCTAGCAATTCAAAAGGAAATTTCAGCATAAGGCATTTCTTTATTTGTGGGGGGGGGGATTAAAGTTCTGATTTGAAAAATACAAGTAGCTTGGTACACGTAGGATATAATCAAGGACTTCATAACTAAACATAAAATATAACATTGGGGCTTGACGCATACATAGGGTACCTTTCGCACTAAACACGCCCCTTTTTTGTCTACTGAATAACACTATATAGTATCTTAATGTAAAATATGGTTTTGATTGATAAATCCTCTTTGGAAAATATTGCCATGTTTTGTGTTATCACTGCTAATATCTAATATCTACTCTCTGTTGTTCTTGTTTAAAAAGAAAATCTTCAACTGTTATGTGTTTTAGGACCTTGCTTTTGCGCATGGTTCCAGCGGACTGATGTAAAGATGACAGATAACAATGGAGTACTAGGAGAGAGCATCACACTTTCCGGGGGGCAAAAGACCCCAGAAAACTGCATAAGTCTGTGCGAATCCAGCTCGGGTTCACCTTGTGTGGCGGTCACCTACAAAACAAATTCCGGGACATGCCACAAGGTATATGTGACGTCAACCTTAGCTGACGCTGTGTCGAATGGCCACGTGGCTTTTACCGCTGACCCACAGTACGACTCTTATATTAATGATACAGTTTTCGAAACAAGCACCACTACTCTGATTTTCACTGAAGGTAAGTTTAAGTGTAAATAACCACGAAGATTTTGTTCAAACTGTAAATTAAAAAAGAAAACCGTTCAATTATTTGTACTCTACTGAATTTAGGAAATGCTTCGTAGAGTAAATTGGAGTTGACATTGTTTTGTTAAATAAATCGAGAATGCTTCATCTGGTTTTTGGTCTTGTCAGTACACTACTGTTTATGAAACTAATGTTGACAGCAGGAGAAGACTTTTTTGAATATGACATACTTATGACCCCATTCCTTCTTATCATTTCAGCATTCAAGAACCATTTAGAACGCCAATCATCCCGCTCTAGTAGTCCAGTGGCCCAATCTACCAATGTGCTGTCTTCAGCGTCCTCTTCGTCGTCCACTTTAACCCCAAGCAGTCATGAAACAGTTTCCATGACATCGGCAACAATTTCCGAAAACAATAGACCTATTACTTCGACCAGTGAAACGGAATTCTTTATAACAATTGAATGCGTCGTGACAAGTAGCGTCAGCAGCAGCGGTCAAGTAGATATCTTGACTTCAACATTTGCGACCGCCGTCACGTCACCAAGTAGCAGCAGTAATCAAGTAGATATATTGCCTTCAGCTTTGGCGACCGCTGCTATGTCGCCAAGTAGCAGCAGTAGTCAAGTAGATATATTGCCTTCAACTTTGGCGACCGCTGCCATGTCGCCAAGTAGCAGCAGTAGTCAAGTAGATATATTGCCTTCAACTTTGGCGACCGCTGCCATGTCGCCAAGTAGCAGCAGTAGTCATGTTAACATCCTGACTTCAACATTGGCGACTGGTTTCATGTCGCCAAGTAGCAGCAGTAGTCAAGTTAACATCCTGACTTCAACACTGGCGACCGATGCCATGTCGCCAAGTACCAGCAGTAGTCAAGTAAATACCCTGAAGTCAACATTGTCGCCCGCCGTGCAGCCAAATTCAGATACTGAAAAAAGTACCATAGCTCCCTCAAGTTCGAAAAATGAAAAGTATTCCATTTCCGTAACCTATTTCCCTGTTATTTCTTCATATATGGAGATAACTGAGATAACCCTCTCAGGTGAAGAAAGTCAAAAGATATCTATCGATTCTATAATGACTTCTAGCGAGGTCTTGAGTGACAATACAGCAATTGAGGCCACTTCTATTGTGACAGTGACTCAGACAACAGGATCCGTTCCGTCAATCACGGAGGCACGGTCAACGGTTGCCGTAACTACTGCCCCAGTTCATGCTACTACAAGCGTTTCCGTGTGTAACGACATCCCGTTTGTCATTAATGCAGAACGAATCGGAAATGACACCGGTGTGAATTCTACAGTGACTTATGTTTGCGACACAGGGTACCGTTTTCCGTCAATGGAAAAGGAGCAGACGATCACTTGCACAGAAAATGGCACGTGGTCAAAGATGGCGCTTCCTCCATGTTCAGGTAAAAAAAACTGTTGAGCTGATTATCATTGTTATGCTGATTGTCCTATTATACGGAAGATAGCCACTTTGACTTATATATATCAATTTTGTCATTTAATTTTGGACGTTCTTATGACGTAAACATTTCTTTATTCATTTTTCTTTTTTCAATTTTTGTCATTTAAGGTTGCACGTTCGTGTGATTTATATATTTCTTTATTCATTTCTTTTACCTAACATCACAATCTTAAGTATTTATTACGAGAGGTTTTACCCCTCAATATCTTTACATACAAAGTATGTTTTGTTGTTGAGAAAATTTGAAGTAAAAATTGTTTAAAGACCGTAAATTTCTAAAC